ACAGCGTCCACAGCTGGAAGCTGTATGTGCAAACACGTGATCCTGGGGGAGACTTTCACATCCCCACCATAGCATGGAGGACCGAGGATGTCCTTCAGCTCCGACAGTTTCTGCTTTTGCAAGAGGTTCACTGTGACACTCAGCTTTAATGTCACCTTGACAGGAGCTGGAATCACCTCTGAAGGGAGGAGTCTCAGTAAGGGGCTGTCTACACTGTCTGGGCAGCTGTGGAGGATTGTCTTAAACAGGTTAGTGTGGGAAGGTCCAGCCCACTGGGTCAACCAATCAGACTCCTTGGATTGAAAGCACTGGAAACTTGAAATCTCTTCACAGAAAATGAAACAGGGAAAACCCTCCCTCAGGGACCAAGGAGTTGGGGAGCTGCAGCACCCTGCCTCCCTCACGTCCTCAGAGTCTGGTGCCAGCACTCAAATTGTTAAAGTATAATACAAATCCAAACCAACAGAATTCATAGGCGCACCATAGGCCTGAACCCTCCCACAAAAGTAAAGGGATGAGTCCTATTGGCTGATGCTGGTCATGTGTCCATTCTCAAAGCCACCTCTGTGACTAAGCTCAGCAATGGGGTCAGCTCTATCTGACAGCCACAGACAGGAAGTGAGGGGACACAGTCCTGGAACAGACTGAGTTGCTTCTGGGATTCAGACCTGGGTAGAAACAGATACCTAACCTCAGTGATGACAGCCACCACGGCACAGGGCAGCCCAGTCTCTCTCTGCCAGACATCCACCACAGCCCAGGGAAGCCCAGCCTCTCTGTTTCAGGCAGGGTTGGCAAGCAAACTGCACCGTGTCCACTCTCACATGCAGCTTGGGGTCACGCATGTTGACCTTGGCCCCCAACCTCATGCACAGCAAACACCAGGTAAAAGTATTAATGGTAGCATAGAGTCTTATCCCAATGTATATTGACCAAGATGAAGATTCTATAATGCCCATTCCATCTTTACCCCAGGATGCTTCATTCCTAGGACCTTCAGGGAAACCACTGCTCCTTGGAAAGACAATTTGAGTAAAGAATTAAAACTTTAAAGGCTGTAATGCTTGGGAAATAGTACAAGGGGCTGTAAGGGAATGCTCAGTGGCTGTATTAGTTACTTTTTGCTGCTGTAACAAAACACCACGACCAGAAATAAGTTGTGGCCAAGAGTTTATTTTGGCTTATGGCTCCAGAGGGAGAGTCCATAATGGCATGGGAGACGCAGGAGCAGGTGGCCAGCACAGGAAGCTGAGAGACCACATCCCCATCCACACACAGGAAGCACAGAAAACAAACTAAAAGTGGGGTGAGCCTGGAACCCCTCAAAGCCCACCCCCAGTGATGTACTTCCTCCAGAAAGGCTCCACCCTAAAGGTTCCAGAACCTCCCCAAACAGGGATCAGGTATTCAAATGTGTGAGCCTAGGCAGGACAGTTCTCATGCACACCACCACAGTGCATAAAGCAATCATTTGCTGCACAGCATAATGGCCTGAATTTGGCTGCCTAAAACGCACCTAAAGCTGGAGATACTGCACAGCGCATCCTTAATCCCAGAACTCCTCCAGCAAGATGGGAGTCAGAAACAGGAGACTCTTCCGAGGTTTGCAAGCAACCTCACCTGTTAGGTGCAGCCATGAAACACAGAGATCCTGCTCAAATAGTGTAGAAGAGGGGACCACCCCTGAGATCCTCTGACCTCTACAGGGGTTCTCTTGTCATTCTCTCTCTCTCTCTCTCTCTCTCTCTCTCTCTCTCTCTCTCTCTCTCTCTCTCTCATGCACACACACAAAAGAGAAATACAGAGAAATGGGAACAGACTTGCTGACCAAAATCTTCAACTCTATAGCAAAAACAATTGACAACATTAATATGATTACAGGATGGGTTCTTGTTTTGTTTGTTTATTGATTTGATTTGTTTTGAGACACATTCTCACCATATAGCCCAGGCTGGCCTCTAGCTCACAGGGATCTACTTGTCTCTGCCCACTGAGTGCTGGGATCAAAGGCATGCACCACCTTTGCATGCACCCAGGCAAAATGGCTTCTTCCATCTATATTTTTGTAAATTTAGCTGATTTTTCCCAAAGGCACACACGGCCTATGAGAAAAAGGGGGAGCTCTTATTCTCCTCTTCCAGCATTGTCTTTACCACTAAGACTGTACTGTAAGCTAGAAATATTTCAAGTTCAGAGAAAGATGAACCACTGGTTTGAGGTCTTGAAACGTGACCATCTTTCCAAAATTATCTGAACATCTCTGGCAACAATACCCTGAAAGAAAAGGGAAGAGGGGTCCATGATATTTTTCTTTTTCCAAATGACATCAAGTTATTGGTAGACAATGACACAATTATAAGTCGATCAATCAGTATTTGTTTCTCCAGGTGTTCTGGGAGTGTTCTCTCATTCTGTTTTCTGGGGCTTCTTGGAAATAAAACTCTAGAGGGAAGCCTCATGGTGTCTGAGACTTTTTTTTTACATGCCTTCATCTCCTTTCCTGTTAGGTGGAATGCTAGCTGACTACATAAATCTGCCCCTTTCTGTTTATCCCGCAGTTGCCTGTCAAAGCAAATAAAGCTGCTTTGCATTAGAGGCTGGAAACTGAGATGTGGGAGAGTGAGTCCCCCTGGTGAAGGGAAGCCAGAGGGCTGTGGCTCCCATGCCCGGTGGAGCCAGCAGCCCGCACATCTGCAGCAATCACACAGCCTTGCACTCTGAGGGGGAAAAGTGCTTTGGAAACACATTTATACACCCAAGGAAGCCAATCGCCTCCCTTAACCATAAAAACATCTGCTTTGCAAATAGCTGCATCAAGATTGGGTCTGGGAAAGCTAATTCTCTCTGATGCTATTAAGGTCATTAAGAAGAAAATCCGTTTCCCGTGAGCTTCCTTTACCACTGGGTCATAATCTGAAGTGTGACATCTCAGAAAGATGGTCCCTTCAGATGCAGAAAACACCAAGGTAGGTGCTGGTGACCCGTAATCTTGAACTTCCCTGTTTGCCAGGCCCCTCCCATGTGCCATCAGTGAGCAGCAGAAACATTACTAAATGCTCCTTACAGGCTTTGAACCGATGGACACTTGACATAGAACACCTGGTCAATCCGCACGTCTCTAAGAGACATTTATTTCTGCTCATTTTACAAATGAGTTTGGGGCTGAGCAGATGACTCAGTGGGTAAGGGGCTTGCCACGCCAGCGTGAGCACCTGACTCTGAATCCCACTGCCCACATAAAGTCAGGCATGGTAGCACGTGATCATACCCCAGAGCTCCCATGGAAAAGGGAGGCAGAGACAGGGGAACCCCTGGAAGCTCACAGGCTAGCTACACACATCGCAAACAACAGAAGAATTTGTGACCAGTGAGATGATTCAGCAGATAGAGGCCGTCACCTTCAAGCATAGCGACCTGTGGTTGATTGCTGGGGCCCACAGGTGAACAGAGAGAAACAAGTTGGCCTCTGACCTCACAGACACTGTGTCATATGTGGCCCCACACATATGCAAACTAACAGTGATAATAGTAACAATGATGACGACAAATTGTTATGGGACATTGGTACGCTGTGTGAAGATACATTGCTGTGATTGGTTTAATGAAGAGCTGAACAGCCAATAGCTAGGCAGGAGGTGTAGGTGGGACTTCCAGGCAAAGAGAGGGGAAATAGAAGATGAATCAAGGTGCCAGAGAGACACCAACAAGACGTGGAGGGAGCCGGACAGACAGTCACTATGGTGAGTGAACAAGCTATAGTTTGTTAGAAGTCAGTCTATGCATCTCTGTGCTTGCGCTCTCTCTCTCTCTCTCTCTCTCTCTCTCTCTCTCTCTCTCTCTGTCTCTCTCTCTGTGTGTCTGTCTGTGTGTGTCTGTGTGTGTGTGCCTTCTCCACATTACCCCCTCTTTCATACATACATAAAATGTCTTTACACACACACACACACACACACACACACACACACAAAGGCCCTTCATGATGCATTTTTAAGCCCTCCAGCACAGGATGAGAAATGAAAACAAAAACAGTTTCTCAGAGAGGAGGATTTACAGTAATACTAGTCCAGTGACCACGTGCCTATTCTTTCTCTTTTCTCTCTCTCCCTCTCTCTCTCTCTCTCTCTCTCTCTCTCTCTCTCTCTCTCTCTCTCTTTCACACACACACACACACATACACATGTGTGTGCGCGCGCACGCGATCATGTCATCTCCGGAGTTCAGAACTCCACCACCAACACCATGAGTCTGGGCACCTGCTCTTAATGCAGCTACAAATCAATGAGCAACTTTGCATTTTCAATATCCACGTGCAGACCCCTAGTGCTCCATCTCCCCCTGTGGATGCCCACCATCCCACCATCCACCACCTTCTTTCTCTCCCCCTGGCTCCTCCCAGCCACACAGCATGATGAAAGGGAAGCCTACAGACAATGTTTCTCATGTGGATTCTGGCTTTTCTTCACAGTGGCAACTTTCCCATCTTGGTGGAGAAGACAATAGACTTAATATTTTTGTTATTAACAAGACTCAAAATGGTCTCAGGCCTCTGCTAGCCTCACAGTCACATAAAAACAAATCATCAGCATGTCAACATGATTCTTCTTGCTCCATGCACCACTGTTCTAGAAAGTTTCCAGACCACAGAGAAACCCTCAGCTTTTTTTCTCCTGGGTCCAGAGATGAGAGGATTGAACTCTTTCTCCCATCTTGTCTTGGATGCTGGTATTTATCTGTGCATCTATGATCATCCACCGGTGGCTCCTTGCTCTGTGGTCCAGGTGCTGGTGGGACTGTAACTGGTTCCTTGTATGAGGAATGCCATTATGGGGCCAGCAAGATGCTTGATTGGGTAAAGGTGCTTACAGCCAAGCCTAAGGGCCTGCGTTCCATCCCTGGGACCCACATTTCAGAGAGAGCTGACTCTTGCAGGTTGCCCTCTGCTCTCCACATGCACATGCAAGTCCCTTCTACTCCCCCTCCCCCCCCCACACACACACATGTACAAACAAATGTCTTTTTATTATTTCATTTCATATGTATGGCTGTTTACCTGCATGGATGTCTGTGCACCACACGTGTGCAGTGCCTGTGGAACCCAGAAGAGGGCATAGGATGCTCTGGAACTAGAGCTGCAGACCATCTTGAGTCACCATGTCAGTGCTGGGAATCTAACCCAGGCCCACTGGAGGAGCTGCTGGTGCTCTTAACCACTGAGCCGTCTCTCCAGCCCCAGTTGTCTTCGTTTGTGTATTTGTTTGTTTTGCTCAAATGAAGGAATGCTGTCATGGCACAGTGGTTGGTATCAAATACTCATTGCACACTGACTTTAGACCCTGATTCCCACGTCAGAAGCAACCTCACTGTTAGGTGAGGGGGAATCAGAGGAGTAAATACTAGTGGCGTAGAAATGATGGGTGTGGAACACAGATGGCCAACTTACACTAACAAGGAGCCAAGTTCTGAAAAAAAAAAAAGCCAAGGTGGATACCAACTTGAGCATTAAAGTGAGCACACCCATGTTGAGCACCTGTGTGTCGTGTTCTGTGCCCAGTTGCTTGTGTACATATCGTCCCGTCAGTCCCCAGAGCAAACAGATCCATCAGCATGAGTGGTGTGGAAACAGCGTCACATATAAGCAGCAGGTCAGAAACTGGGGATGAGCAAATAATGGCTGAAGAGCCCAGCGCAGCCAGCTGCCTGCTCCGTACATGGACTATCGTAGAATACGGGCTGTGCTTGGGTGTTGGGCTATGTTCACACACACATTTCACATGGCACCTGCAGGGCACAGTTTTGAGAGGATTGTGTGGTCCGTGATATGAGCTGTAAGGTCTCCCTGCTGGAAGAAAGAAAAATGTCTTATGCTGAAATCCAAAACCACAATAGATCTCTATAGATAGAACCCTTAGGAGGTAATCAAGGGGCAGGGGGAAATTGACTGAGATACACAAAAGTCACGCCCTACATAAGTGTGGATGTCGCATCCCACACCCTGGTAGAGCTGTCCTCAAAAGCTCTGTCCCCATAACATAATCTACATATATTAATATATTTTTATCTTAATCTTTGAGATTTCATACACACATACAAGCATTTTGATCATGTCCATCTTCCAGCTCCCCCTCCAACTCTTCCTAGCCTCTCTCCCATTACGTGTCCTTTTTTCTAACCCACTGGGTCCCATTAGTGCTGCCCATGTGTATGTAGGTGTGGGGACAGCCTCTTGAGCGTGGACAATTTACGAGTGGCCACAGTCCTGAAGAAAACTGGCCCTCTCTCCCCACACAGTCATCAGCTGCCAACAGTGCCTCAGATAGGGGTGGGTGGTACCTTGCAAGCCCCTCCCCCTCTGTGCTGTGACTGTCTTAATCTTGTGTAGGCAACCACAGCTGCTTCAAGTCAAGAGTGCCGCCGTCCCATCTCGTCCTGAAGATTCTTCTGCGCCGTCCTCCCCAACCTCTGGCTCCTGCCATCTTTCTGTTTCATCTTCTGTGATGGTCCCTGGACCTCACTTACATTTCATTGGTCACAGTTGTCTCTCTGCTCAGGGATAGCAGCGATGTGTTTTAAACAGGCAGGGCCTGTTGGCATAGCCAACAACTGTTTTGTCAGTAAGGAGGAAGAAAGAATAGATACTGTGTGGGCGCCTAACTTTTCTACCACAGCCTTCATTCTAGAATTTCCATATCTAAGAATTGGGGGCGGGGCACAAAGAGACACAAATCAGAGAATGCCCATTGTAATATGGCTCACATAGAAAACCACTGGCCACATAAACATGTTTAGCTGATACTGCTAGCATCTCACTGAACCAGTTAGGTTGGCGTTTCAAAAGCCTGAGACACCCCCATCTCGAGGTCATCCCTGGAGGATTAGAGGGCTACCTGGTTCCTTCCCTCAGCTCTCCTTCCTCACCCACTCCCTTGGTAAGTCACAAGCATGGGGATGTTTAAGAGATGGTGTAGTGCACACCTGTAATCCTTGCTCCAGGAGACTGAGGCAGGAGGACAGAGCTCAAGACATCCCCAACTACTTAATGCGTACAAGACCAGTCTGGACTACATGAGAAGACTGGCCACTCAAATCAGGGCATAAACATGTAATCACAAACGCCAGTTAGAATTAGACAACATTGCTTAAGACAGAATCGACTTGCTGTCAGTGATATTTCATTGCATGTAAGGAAAAAAGCGAGCTGAAGAACATTATATATAATGTGCTCTGAAATGTACAAAATTTAACATGACTGCCCTTAAATCTGCTTAAATACATACGTCAAAGAAGCATCTAGAAATGTACAAAAGAAGCCATTAGCATTTGTTTCTGCTGGTTACTCTTTCATCTTTTTTCTCTATTGTTTGAAGTAAGAAAAACATGTCTTTCTTTTATGATTTTCATTTGCTTTTCTTACTTACAATGGTTCATGCCGATGGTCCCAGCTCCTGGGGGCTGGGGGATGACTCTCCAGAGCCCAGGAGTTCAAAGGGCAGCCTGAGCACCACAGGAAGACATCTCTGTCATCCAGGGTGATTGCATGTCAGGAGTTGGAGCTAATGCAGCATTTGCTACCCCAAAAACTTCAGTTTTAAAAGAATTAAGTAGAAGGCTTAGGTTCAAGTCCAACTCACCACCTGTGAGTCCGCTTAGGCTACCCCCCACCCTTGGATGTTAATCTACAAAGTAAGGCTTAAATACTAGAAATAGGGTGTCCTCCTAGGGACAAATGAAGATCAAGTGAGAAGTCATTCTGCCTGAGTTCTGATCTTCAGCGACTAGTTACCGTTGTTACAGATGATGACACAGATAAGCATGCAAGACATTAAATGTCCACAGACAGAAATTGGCCAGCATTAAAGGGCTCTGTGCTACACATGATGTCAGAGCTGGGGGAAGAGGAGGGTGCCATGAAATGCTGACCAATGGACAAGACATGGCTGCTGTACTCAGAATATCTCAAGATGATTACAAGATCAAACCAGTCAAAACTCCAGCCTGGACTGGAGAGGGGCCCGTGAGGCCCCACCCCTCCCCGAGGTGCCCTCTGCAGTTAGTGGCTGCCAGGAGAGAGCCAATCGGTGGTGTAGCCACGGGCACGTAGCCCATGCTCTGGTAAACAACCCCACCCTCTGCTCACGTGAGCAACTCTCACCATACTCAGCGGTTCATTTTTTATAAGGGACATGAAAGTGGGGAAGAAGGGCCCTAGAGAGGATGGGAAGGATGAAAGGGGGTTATGGGAAGTAAATATGATCAAGATACATTATATACATGTGTGAAATTATCAAAGAATATCAAATATCAAATGAAGAATACTTTCAAGTTAAGTGAAATGTTTGAGTATCCCTGCATTTTGTGTTCGTAGCTACGTTCCTATGATGTTTCTCAGACTATGACTACATGCCCACTGGGAGTTGGAAGAAAGCCCTTTAAGGGATCCAGGAGACTAGAAAACTTTGTGGAAATCTGAAGTCTGAATTGTATAACCAGAAGTTTCCCCGCGATCCAGACGAATCTCTCCCACCCGTGGTCCCACAGCCACTTATAAAGTAACCACACAGAGGCTTATATTAACTACAAACTGTATGGTCTATGGCTCAGGCTCATTATTAACTAGCTCTTAATTCAACTCATTTCTATTAATCTATGTTTTACCACGTGGCTTCGTGGCATTTCCTGTTCTCTCACATCTTGCTTCTGACAGTGGCTTGCAGCTTCTGCCTGACTCCGCCCTTCTTCCCTCCGTCTCTCTGCTTGGATTTCCCACCAGCCTCTAAGCTGCCTTGCCATAGGCCAAAATAGCTTATTTATTAGCCAATGAGAACAACATATATTCACCGCATACAAAAAGATATCCCTCAGTAGAATTGGACCTTGGACGGCAAATAGAGCAAAGGGAACCATTTCTTTCCCAAACTTGCTACAGATACAAAGGAAATAAGCTGAAATGAAAACACTTGACCGAGAGTCTCCTTGCTCCTCAATGGAGCCTCCACACCTACCTGACCAACATCAGTAAGGTCCAAACAGCTCAGAAGCACTTAAAAGTTAAGAAGCACTGCTCTGGAAGGTTCCCTAAGACCTCAGGCTATGCAGGACTGTAGTGGCGCACACCTCCAATCCCAGCACTTGGGAGGCAAGGGCAGGCAGATGATCTCTGTGAGTTCAAGGACAGCCTGGGCTACAGAGTGAGATCCAGGACAGGCTCCAAAGCTACACAGATAAACTCTGTCTCGAGAAAAAAGAAAAAAAAAAAAAAAAGACCTCAGGCTGCAGCCGTGTGGAGCAGGTCCCGTAAGCTGACTTTGAAACTAACTCAGTCCAGACATGAGAGTGTTTGATGTAGCCTGTCCCGTAGAGTCAACACGGGCTGTCAATAAGCAATGGCTTACCGCTATTGCTATCACTACGTGAGGAAATTCATCCTGTCTGGTGTTAGTGGCTTGACCTGTTTCATGGAACTAATAACTTGGCGTAAACTCCCATGACAACCACCAAGTTTGATTCAAGAAGTGTCATTCCTCTGCACGCTATGCCCCTAATCATGGTAGCTCTGAGGACGGAGTGAACTTATCTCTGTGAATGTCTTAATACAGTGGCTGGAGCGTCACAGGCAGGAGCAACAAGGAGGATGGCCTGATTTAATGAGATTTGAGCCACCGGACTCTACAGTATCCAAAAGGGGCTATGGGCTGAAAACTTTGAGCGCCAGCCTTCGCCAACACCCAGAATACATTTCAGTTCTTCTCTCCCGTCAGTCCGTGTTTTTTGTTTCAGATGAAAATAGATCTTCCTCCTAGCTTCACCGGAACACAGTTACATGGATGACTCGGCTGCCCTGCGTCAAATGCGGCCTCCAAAGCCTCCCATAAATGATTTTGGATTTCCCACTGTTTTGAATTATCTCTGCCAATGCTCCCCTTATTGGCAATGATGACTGAGTGTTAACTACATTGCATGCAATTAAATTCAAAATATTTGTGCAGCAATTATATGGATTCATCAAACCTAATGGCGCAGTCACGATTTCATGTGTGCTCATCAGCACAGCTCAGAAAGAGGGGGAGAAATTGGCATATAGAAATACATTCCTGCCGGCTGACAAGGAAGCAAACACTGTCTGGCGCCTCGTATTAGCTGATGTCTGTCGATAGCAAACAAAGAAGACGATGCTCCCACTATCGATCGGGTTTTATATAGTCTTCATAGGGATCAGATACATCAAGAAGGTATTTGTTGAGCAATCAATGAATGAACCATAGTTAGCCTTAACTTTCTGCTTACGCTTGTGTTGTTTTTCTTCGTGTGTGTGTGTGTGTGTGTGTCTGTCTGTCTGTCTGTCTGTGTACTTGTTTATATGTGTTTGTAGGTATACGTGTAAGGAGGCTAGATGTCAACATCAGGTGTCTTTTTCAATCATTCCCACCTTAACCTTTTTTGAAGCAAAGTCCCTCACTGAACCAGTTTAGCTAGACTAGGTGGCCAGCAAGCTCCAGGGGCTCCTCCTGTCTCTGCCTCCTCAGCACTGGGATTAAAGGTCCAGGCCACCCACCCAACTGGTGTTCTTTGCTTTGTTTTCTTTATTTTGACAAGGTCTCGCTATTTAGCCCCATCTGGCCTGAAACTCATCTAGGGCTGGTCTCAAACTCATGTAGATCTGCCTGCCCCTGCCGCCACAGTGCTGAGATTAAAGGGGTTTGCCACCACACCCGGCTGACCACCTGACTTTTTACAGGGACGCTGGGGACCCAAACTCCGGTTCTTGTTCTGTAAAGCAAATGCTTTGACCAGTGAAGGTTCTGTACTCCTTTCCTTTCTTACTCTGAGATCTTCCCAGCCAACCGTTTTTTGCTTATTCCATGAATGAGTCCATAGTAGCAGACTCTGTGTCTGCCCACTTCCCACTCAACCTGAGTCTACCAGAGCCTTTGATGCTTCCCATCTCAAGCCTTCCTGGCTCTTTCTCTCCCCGGGGACTGTATGGTTCTCCCCGCAGGAGGCCCCTGGAGTAAACCCTAGCAGGGAATGAGCTGTGACTGGACACAGCCTCTAGCTTTCCCAGAAGTCCTGGGTCAGTTCTAGTGTGTGCTTATGAAGGTCCTCAGGACCCCCACAAGGGAACATAGTGCTGGATGGTAAACACTAAGACATCCCTTGTTGACATTCCTGCATTTCCTGCCTCAGTTTCCCCAGGCCTTCACCTGTGCTTCCAGGGGTCAACTTCCAAGGAAATTCCCTGTGCTCAAAGCCTTGGTTCTGTATCAGCTTTGAGGAGAAACCAATGATCACGACTCCTTTTGTGTAAGACTTAAACTCACTTAGGAAACTTGGTGGCCATCAGAGAAAAATCTCACTGTCACCTTATTCTGATTTCCCAGACTCCCCTGGAGCTCAGACATAATACATAAGTTCCAATATAAGAATCTTTGACATACCACACACACACACACACACACACACACACACACACACACACACACACACACACACAATTAATTAATTAAAAAATTAAAACTGGGTCACATACTATCTCGTAGGTACCAGGGCATTGAAGAGCTGCATCCAGTTTCCAAAATGGCGGCTTCTGTGCTCCTGAGTGAAGTTCCAGTTTCTACCAAAGATCCTGCTTCTTCCAGGCCTGTCTGAATGATACCAGTTCCTTCCACTGATTGGTCTGACTGTTTCCTGGGTTCTCTGCACTCTCACCTTCTGTGAATCCTCTAGTAAGTTCTTTCTCTGTTGACACAAGCCAAGGTTCATTTTCTATGACTTGAAATTCAAAGGTCCATCTACCAGTGTTTTATGTTCTCCTCCTATATAAAAGTGACAAAAATATCCCTTACAGCATTGTCTGTCATTGGCAGTTGCTGGAGACAAGCTGGATATCCGTCAGGAAGACTCTGATCAATGACAAAGCATCGAGTCAACAGCCAAAACCTAACAAGATTGCTTTGAATGAGGAGCTACAGAATTAAGCTTTAAGGGGATGGAAGAGGGGAAGAACAGAGAGATGGCTTAGTGGTTAGGAGCACTTGCTGCTCTTTCAGAGGACCTGAGTTCTATTCCCAGCCCCCACATGGTAGCTCCCAACCATCTGTAGCTCCAGCTGCAGGGGATCTTATGCCCTCTTCTGGCCTCCACCAGGCACCAGGCATACACATGGTGCATATATGTACACACAGGCAAAGCACCCATACACATAAAATTTAAAAAGAAAATTGTTAAAGAAAAACTCATGTTATCATGTATATAATTGCTCTGCTTTCTATCTTAAATGTATCTCTATAGAGCTGTATATGTGTACATATGTACACATGTATGTTCGCAGTCCATTTGTCTTTACTCTTTCTTTTCAGGGGTATTGTTATCATACACACAGAGGTGGACACATGATTGGCAGGCTTTCAATATCCATACAAGGATAGGGCAACAGTGTTTACATCTGGGAAGAGGAAAAAACACCTGGAAAATCAGAGAGCCAGGCTTGTATGTCCCTACATATTACCTTAAATCTCTTAAGTTTCTACTCATGAATGTATATAATCTAATCTATAATAATCTATAATCATCTATCAAAAATGAATAAAATTTAAATGTCAAAGTGTAAATGAAGCTTAAAACTCCGAAGAAAAAAAACTGATCAAACTCCCAGACCCTGACATACCTTGTCTATAGCAAGATCAAGGATGATGTCTTTTTAACAAAAAGCTCAGGTGGGTTTGGGGTCAAGGAGTGCTTCTGGAAGCTTCCATGGAATCTTGGGGCACTATTCTGGTCCACAATGCCCATATATCTGCACTCAGCCCAAATTCTGAGGCTGATCAATATTGAATCTTAACACAATAATTTCCAAAGACTTTTGCTGGGAAGAGGCCCATCGCTGTTGCCCAAAGACTTTGCCGTGTGTGCAGAGGCAAGCATCAATATATTGACAGGCCGAGCGGTTTTCTAGACAGGTACTAACTGCCCAGAGGCGAAGGTCCTTCTTATTTCACCTCTTCTAACACTTGCCCGGCTTCCCTGGAATATTAAGTACAGGCAATCATATGGCCACACTGTGTTTTTTATTTCTTCATTAAGAGCAACACATAGGCACATCATTTTCAGCTGTCAGAAATCTAAAAGTGTTACAGTGTTTCCCCCCAGAATACATTTAGGGCATGAGGACAAAGGTCACCATTTGCAGGGTGAAAGGTCACTGTTCTCTTTGAACATTACAGGGCTCATCTTTCTGAGCTAAATGCTCCCTGCCCTTTCCCAACTTTTGTGTCTTTCTTTCCTTTTTCTTTCTTTTTTCCTTTTTCCTTTCTTTCTTTTTTTTTTTTTTTTAACTTTTCCTCCCTGGGCATGGTGCCAAACACGTAAGGAGGTGACCCACTTTATCAATCTATGATAATCTTTTTAAAGCCTCTGCCATTTCAAACCAATTTATTTTTATATGGCATCTTCCATTAAAAAATTATCTCAAAATACTTTGTCGAAAAGCAAAATTATGATAAAACGGTTTAAGCATTTAAAAACGTCTTGGTTTCGAAGATGAAGAGTTAAGCACATTTTAACAATCTCCTGTAAGTTCAAAGCTCTTCACGGAAGAGTTTCATTATTCTCAGAAATCCTGATCTAGGGAACAGGGGGTGGGGCGGGGCCTGCACTTGGGACCAGAATGTTTGGAGCGGGAGAGCCATTTAAATGCTGGAGGAAGGACACGGGCTCACAACGGATGCAGACCCAGAAGCCCTTTGGGTCAGCCTGTTCTGCTGACGGAGTTAACTCTCCCCTCATCCCTACCACACACCTGACCCTACAAGATTGCTCTCCTGCTGCCTCTGTGGCTC